TAGTGTTTGCATCTGTCCTTCCGATAGGGGGGATCGAAGCAGATAGGTGTGCTGTTCACATAAACTCGTGGCTTCGAGACTGGTGTGACCGGCAGAACTTTGGGTTCTTTGATCACGGGAAGGTCTATGCTACACCGGGCCTGATGGCACAGAATGGGATGGGCCTCTCTCGGAGAGGGGTAAGGATCTTTGGTCAGGAGTTGGCAGGGCTGATAGATAGGGCTTTAAACTAGAGTCAAAGGGGGAAGGGGCTAAAACCAGGCACGCCGGTGAAGACCTAAGGGATGGTACGCTAGAATCAGAGGGGCTGTGTGCCAGTGAGGTCCTTCGGTTAGATCCACAAGGTGCTGAGTGTAAGGAGACGCACCTGAAATGCTTCTACACAAACGCACGCAGTATGAGGAATAAAATGGATGAGCTAGAAGTCCTGGCCCAGTCCCGCAACTACGACATCATCGGCATAAGCGAAACCTGGTGGGATGAGTCCTGTGACTGGGGTGTTGCGATAGATGGTTACAGGCTCTTCAGGAGGGACAGGCAGGGTAGGCGAGGTGGTGGGGTGGCGATGTATGTGAAGCAGGGGCTGGACTGTGTGGAACTTCAGGTCGGCGATGGCAAAGTTGAGAGCCTCTGGGTAAGGATCAAGGGACGAACGAATAAAGGGGATGTCGTTGTGGGAGTCTATTACAGACCGCCTGGTCAGGACGATAGCACCGATAAATTATTCTTTACAGAACTAAGAGAGGCCTCGAGATTAACTCCCCTTGTCCTTATGGGGGACTTCAACTTGCCAGACGTTAACTGGGAGTGCCACACGGCTGACACGAGCAAGTCCAGGAGGTTCATGAAGCACCTAGATGATAACTTCTTGGTGCAGGTGCTGACGGAGCCAACTAGGAAAGGTGCCCTCCTAGACCTGTTGCTAGAAAACAGAGAGGGTCTGGTGGGAGATGTGGTGATTGGTGGCCGCCTCGGTCATAGTGACCATGAAGTGGTTGAGTTCAAAATTTACGGTGACAGAAGGAAAAGTGCCACCAAAACCTCATCCCTAGATATGGGGAAGGCGGACTTCAGGCTGCTCGGGGAACTAGTCAGCAAGGTCCCCTGGGAAGCTGCTCTTGAAGGCCTCAATGTCCACCAGTGCTGGTCATTCTTTAAGCGATGCCTCCTAGAAGCACAAGAACAGGCAGTTCCTAAATATTGCAAGTCAGGCAGGCGCGGCAGGAGGCCGGCGTGGCTGACCAGGAACATTCTTACGGAGATTAGGCGGAAACAGAGAGTGTTTCGCTACTGGAAGGAGGGCCAGGTGACATGGAAAGAATACAGGGATGCTGTTCGTGTTTGTAGGAAGAAAATTCGTGTGGCTAAAGCACACCTAGAGTTGAAGCTGGCTGTGTCTGTGAGAGAAAATAAAAAGGGTTTTTTTAGATATGTGAATGGAAAAAGGAGAACTAAAGAATACATAGGGCCGCTCCTTGATAGGGAAGGTCTCCTCACAGACAATGACATAGGCAAAGCAGAGACGCTTAACGCCTTCTTTGCCTCTGTCTTCAATGCCGATGATGGGCTTCGGGACCCAGGGTGCCCTGAGCTGGAGGACCGGGACGGTGGGGATGACAAACTCCCAACCGACCCTGAACGTGTGCGGGATTTGCTACTCCGCCTGGATCCCTACAAGTCCATGGGTCCGGATGGGATTCATCCCCGGGTGCTGAAAGAGCTGGTGGACGTCATCGCGGAACCTCTCTCAATTATTTTTCAACGATCCTGGGAGTCTGGAGAGGTCCCGGTAGACTGGAAGCTGGCAAATGTTGTGCCGATTTTCAAGAAGGGTCAGAAAGAAGACCCTAGCAATTACAGGCCTGTCAGTGTCACGTCAGTGCCTGGTAAAATCATGGAGAAGATGGTTCTCGAACGTATTGAGGCGCACCTGGGGGACAAAGCAGTCATTGGTCCCAGCCAGCATGGGTTTGTGAAGGGTGGGTCCTGCCTAACTAACCTGATTTCCTTTTATGATAAGATCACCCCTATGGTGGACCAAGGGAAACCAGCTGATGTGATTTTTTTGGACTTCAGCAAGGCTTTTGACACGGTTTCCCATAGGATCCTACTGGACAAAATGTCCAGCATACAGCTAAATAAAAACATCATACGATGGGTGAGCAATTGGCCAACGGGCAGGGCCCAAAGGGTTATGGTGAATGGGGCTGCGTCAGGCTGGCAGGCGGTCACAAGTGGGGTCCCTCAAGGCTCCATTTTAGGGCCGGTCCTTTTCAATATTTTTATAAACGATCTGGATGTAGGAATAGAAGGTATTTTGAGCAAGTTTGCTGATGACACCAAACTTGGAGGAGTTGTGGACTCCAATGAGGGTGGAAAGGCCTTGCAGAGGGATCTGGATAGGTTGGAGAGCTGGGCGATCGCCAGCCACATGAAGTTCAGTAAGAGCAAGTGCCGGGTCCTGCACCTGGGATGGGGAAACCCTGGCTGCACGTACAGACTGGGCGATGAGACGCTGGAGAGCAGCCTAGAAGAGAGGGATCTGGGGGTCGTGGTAGACAGCAAGTTGAATATGAGCCGGCAGTGTGCCCTGGCAGCCAGGAGGGCCAACCGTGTCCTGGGGTGCATCAAGCACGGCATCGCTAGTAGGTCGAGGGAGGTGATTGTCCCGCTCTACTCTGCACTGGTGCGGCCTCACCTCGAGTACTGTGTGCAGTTCTGGGCACCACAGTATAAAAAGGACATGAAACTTTTGGAGAGTGTCCAGAGGAGGGCTACGAAGATGGTGAAAGGCCTGGAGGGGAAGACGTACGAGGCACGGCTGAGGGCACTGGGCCTGTTCAGCCTGGAGAAGAGGAGGCTGAGGGGAGACCTCATCGCAGTCTACAACTTCCTTGTAAGGGGGTGTCGAGAGGCAGGAGACCTTTTCTCCATTAACACCAGCGACAGGACCCGCGGGAATGGGGTTAAGCTGAGGCAGGGGAAGTTTAGGCTTGACATCAGGAGGGGGTTCTTCACAGAGAGAGTGGTTGCACACTGGAACAGGCTCCCCAGGGAAGTGGTCACTGCACCGAGCCTGCCTGAATTTAAGAAGAGATTGGACTGTGCACTTAGTCACATGGTCTGAACTTTTGGGTAGACCTGTGCGGTGTCAAGAGTTGGACTTGATGATCCTTAAGGGTCCCTTTCAACTCAGGATATTCTATGATTCTATGATTCTACTGCCCATCATATGCTTTGCCATGAGCCATATTGTCAACGACCATTTGTAATGACAGCTTTTTATAGAAGGCTGGTACAATAATCATCTTGGTATCAATACAGTGAATCAACCGCAGTATTATTGTTCCTGTAACTCTGTTCCTCATATTTCTGTTAATGTCTAGAGATAGCAGATTTCAGCTGGTTTTCTCATATTAACCTGAATGACAGTAGCTTGTAGGTGGCAGGAACCATTTTATGTATTTAAGAAAATTCAAAGTTCTAACTGCGATACATTTTACATAGAGAGAGGGGAATATTAAAGTAACCTTTAGACAAAGCTTGGTGTACTTTTTAGTAGAAAGTTTTATACGCTAGCATAGGATTTAAGGCTGTACACACAAAAATGATTTCCAGCAATATACTAAGCTACGAGGTCTTGATAAATGAAAGTCTTTGCACCCACTATCCATAAAAATTGTGAACTGCATCCTTAACATCAAGATATTATCTAAGCATTACATCATTTATATATATTATACATTTGTATTACATATACTTATACTTGCATATATGTATATTATATGTAAATATATATTCTAAATAAACCAAAACTTACTTAAATTTTGGAAGAACAGATAAACTTGTCATACCAGAGAGCATATATGGGTTAATTTTAAAAACAGTAAAAACAGTGCAACCAATTTCTCATAGCTTCAAATAACAAAATAACAACAAGGACTTTGTAACTTGATTCATCTTTCAAAAAAAATATTGGTAGATTTTTAATTTAGTCAGACATTTTCTAGGTCTCAGATATCGAATAAAGATAAGAGAAAACAACTCCAGAGAATCTAAACCAGGTTATGATATACAACATATTGGAGCATTTGTTGTCTTGAAAGTGGGAACTGTTACGACCTGAACATGTTCGCATCTCGCCTTCACTGTCAAGATTCCACTTGAAGATTTAAAAATAAATAATTCTCTTAAACAGTGTGAACTTTCAGAGAAATAGTGTGAACTTTTAGAAAGCTGTCCCTTCAGCGCTGCTGATTAACTCCAGCAATATTTTTAACTTGCTTCGTTATAAATAAAGAATAAAAGGATTTCAGCATTAGCATATCAGAAGACAGGGCACACATAAACGCATGAAAGACTCCTTAAATCAGTGAATACTCCCTTCCCAAAGCTGTCTCTAAGTTTTTGTGGTAGAAGACAGGCTATTATTTTGTTAGTGGGCAAAATTTGTAAGACCAGCTGTCTTACAAATCTTAATCATGTAATACATGATTAGATTTGACTCTTGAGTGATGTCCGAAGGCATTGCTTGGTGATATTAAAAACTGGAAAATTTATCTTTCTCTGTCTCTTTCTGTATAATTGGTAGTTGAATAACATACCAGTATCAACTTTAAATTTTTACGCTTCTTGTAAAAGAAAGAAAACATTTACTGTTCTGATAAATGTAGTATGCCCCATGACCTGTACCATATGGCTAACTATTTTCACAGGCTGCGATTGCTATGGTGTAGAATTACCAAACTACACACATGTGACATAAGACCTGCTTACAGTACTCAATGAGTACTTTCATGGATTTCTATTCATAAAGCAGGTGGAATTTGGACAATATTACTTTGAAATTATAAACTGCTTTCTCTCTGCTGACTCAAGCAGACTGAAAATCCATTTGATCAATGTATCACTACAAATACACCACAAAATGCATGTGAACATGCATATAATTGAATTTTGGTGTTTTCTAGACCTCCTACTGATAATAGCCAATAACAAACTCTGTAGGATTTCTTCATTTAGACGGATTATAGTAATTGCAAATCAGGCTTTTGAGTCATATAAAAGAAGATTTTGCAAGATTCTTTCATTTTTTTAAGTTTTCAAAACATGACAGAAAGCACTAACTACTGTTGCCAGTACAATCACTCCTCAATTAAAGAAATGTTTATTGTCTTTTGCCATTGAACTAATGAATGTAATAATGAACAAGGTTTAGTTACATAAGCTCTAAATGATATGCTGCAGGGAGTGGCAAATGTTAATAAATTAATTGCTGGGGAAAAAAAAAAAAAAACTATAGGCAACTCAAAACTAACAAAAATTTTGGGATAAACTGATAAACTGGATTAGAAACTGGAACTCAGAAACCAAAGAGGAAGATATTGTATGCTTTACTCAAAGACCAGGGGGTGGGCTTAGTTCTATTTCATTCTTCACCACAGGTACCAGAACAACTATTCCTTATGAAAGTATTCAAAACTCATGTTAGAGTATATGCCAAGATGGATTTTTTTCTTTTTGAAATTGTTCTATTAATGTGTTTATTGGGATGGAGAGACAGAGAGCATGAGGAGGACTCTAGAACCCATTGCTTAAGCAATACAACAGAGAGAATAGCAAAACCTTGATTCTAGAGAGAAAACTGCAGAAAATATCTAAATTTTGATAAAATCAGAAAATAAGAATTTATCACTCAGTAGTGATAATGTTACAAGAGTAAGCTACTACAGATTACTCAAATCAGGGACATCAGGCGGAGCATGCATTTTATTAGTCAATAACAGAATCATCCAAAATACCATACATGACAGCAACAGTGGATTTTCAGCCATTTAGCTAGCCTTTGTGAAAGCAATATGGCAAAACAAACATTGTTCAGCAACTTCTTTGAATATACTGGTGGTAGTTTATTGATAGTAATTCAATAAATTGAAAGACTAAGAAAGGTATAGAAAGCAAAAATTTGTTTTTCTTGATGCCCTTTTAAATGCTGTTCTACAATACAAAAGATGTGTTTTAAACAGCAAGTGGAAAAAATGTGTAAATGACCACTATTTTAAAATAAAAAATAGGTCATTTTGAACTTTTTTTGTCTTCAGGTTTCCTGGTTTGCCACTAGGTCACAAAAATCAATTACTCTCACAGCATTTTTAAGGGTATGCATGCAAGGTAAATTTGCTTATTCTTCTTGCTGTACTTGCATAGTCCATGGAGGCTCGTTAATTATTTTAATGACTACATAATCATTTAAAAAGCAGTGTAGAAATCGGCTTTTGGACTTTTTCACTTGTTCCTCATATCAACGATATCGTAAGCGAACTCAGTACTTCTAAAATAAATACCTTCTGGAGAAAGTAAGTAACAAAATCCCTATCAGTAAGATCATTAGAACAGGACTAACCTTCTGCCCCTCCCCTAAGTCCTCCCTCCAGACTCTAATCTTACTTAGTGAGCTTTAACAAGAGACTTCGAATTAAGTTGTATGAAACAGCCCTGCCTAAATGGATTGATCACTTCCATGAGCTGGAGCCAAACTTTTTATTTGTAAAGCCTACACACAGAGGTCCTTATGCACTGCACCAACTTCAGCCTAGATTTTCATGTTCCCAGTTGAGCTATGCTCAGCAATGCATTTTTGCCAGTTTTGAACTTCTACCAGACCTGCAACTGGCTTATTTGATCCTCACATAAATTAAAGCATCTGGATAGCATGCTGCCAATAAGTGCAGAGAACAATGAAGTAGCTGAGGTCTGTCCTTGACTGTCTTTTCCCCAGGAGCTTCCATATCAAGATGAGGCATACAATCAGAATCCAGAAGAATTCTTCCCCCATCCACTAAGCACCCTTCTCTCTACGAAGTTACACAGAGAAGTCCCAAGTATGCTGAGCTATCAAATTTCTATCTGCTTTCCAAAACTATTGCAATGCAAGATAGTCATGCAGACTCAGGCCTTTGACCTATAAATAAACGAATTAGGAACCAGAGGAAGAAGTAACATAATCTTCCACTGGAAAACAATGCTTTTGCATTGATTAAATGTCACTAGTGCAGCACATAGGCCATGAAGGTGAAAAACAGAAATCAAATTTATTTCTCTGGATTGATCACAAACTGTGCAAGAACTTTGGGCAAGCCACTTAGGACCTCAGTAAGTTCAGTTCTTAAATGCTGAGCAGTCTGAAAAGACCTTCTCTTAGCAGTCCTTCTCTCTAAAATTATCCAAAAGGTGGTTATACATTATTGGACAGCAAGAAATGAGAGGATATGAAGTCATTTCACAGGATTTCTTATTCATATATTCATCTGAAAATTGCTCTTGAAATATGTGCCATTTTGATTGGAACAAACTGAATATAGTTGTTCATTCTTCAGGCATGACTGCCATGAAGGAAAGAATTACAATCAGGTATTAATCAAGCTATTATTACAGGCTGCAGGGATTTTGTACCTGCATAGGCAGAGAGGCAGACAAGATCACTATGTGCATGCATTTCTTCAGAAAATAACTGTTATTTGTACAGTACCTGTCATCTTCACCTTATATCACCATAACTGCCATTCAGTTATGAATATTCACTTTCAATGACAATTTTCAGGAAAACTCATATGTATATTTACTTACTGTAAGCCAATCATTCCTTTCCAAAACTAATAAAATGCCAACAGCCTATAGCAGGTCTCAGAATATTGTGACTGCATAATTTCTTGCCACTGTTGTCAAAGCTTTGAGGAGTTTCCAAGGATAAACTAAGGGCAGCAGAAGCAACGGGGAGTCCGAGAAATTCACTTAGCTCCCTTCCTATTTTATTTGCTTCAAAAGAAACATGTACAGAGCTGCAGTAACTCAGTGCTGCTGCACCAGCCTTATGCTGATGACCTTGTAAATGGATTCCTGTAAGATTTTATCAGTAGTACAAGAGACTTTTCTATTTATTCTCTCATGCAGTATCAAAATGATGGCACACATATGCACACACATACCCAGAGAAGTCAAATAGTTATAAAAAAGCCACACCAATGTATGATAACTTATTAGCAGGCTTAAAAACTTTGCTAATACTAAAAAAAAGCAAGAAGAAAAATCAAATCAGAAATTAGAATATTCTTCACACAGTTATTATGGATTAAAATACAGAGGTTGATAGAATTGCTGGAGTGCTAACTGAAAACTTCAATGCATCTGAAAGACAAAATGAAAGGGAAAAAAATGCTTGTACATTCAGATTCACAGCTTATTGTATCCATGACAGGATGAAAAATTATTGCAGAAAAGAAAGGTAGACTAAGTTTGAACCAAGAACAAACAGATAAAAATTTAGGAGATTTGAAAAAAGACAGTAAGAAAAATCAGGAAACCACTGACAATCACCAGACAGAGCCTTTACTCAGTGTACTCTTCAAAGGCTGAGACTAATTTGGAAAACATAAAGCACATCATGGAAGATGCCTATTTATGCAGTGATACAGTCCGTGAGTCTTGAATATTTTAGCATATTCTTCCACTCACTACAGAAAGTCTACCTTCTTAGAAAATTACATGAGAAAAAATAATAAATAGGAATGAATCCTTATTTGTCCAAACCGTTCATGTCTGTTAACTAATTTTTGTTTATTATTCTAACAGGAAGTCAGATGACCAAAGTGCTAGAATCTACTACAGATGTGTTCCCCAAAGACATGACATTAAGTTTAAGAACAAACAAATAATACAGAGTTATAACTTGCACCATAAACACTGATCAGTTAGGAATTGCATGGGCCCTCTACAGACACAAACAGCAGGATCAAGTGCACCCTCAACAAGTTTGCAGATGACACCGAGCTGAGTGGTGCAGTCAGTACACCAGAAGGAAGGGATGCCATCCAAAGGGACCTGGACAACCTAAACAAGTGTGAACCGCATGAGGTTCAATGAGTCCAAGTGCAAGGTGCTGCACCTGGGTCGGGGCAATCCCAGACATAAGCACATAAGTCTGTAAGAAAAACTCCCTGAGAGCAGAGCTGTCAAGAAGGACTTGGGGGTCTGGTGAACAAAAAGCTCAACATGAGCCAGCAGGGTGTGCCAGCAGTGTGTCCGGGCCTGCATCTCAGGAGGTGTGACCAACAGATGGAGGAAGAGGATTGTCCCCCTCTTTTGCCCTCATGGAACTGGATGGTCTTTAAAGTCCCTTCCAACCTAAGCTGTTCTACGATTCTGTGATTCTTTTCATCATTTACCAATGCTCTGTGTAATAGCAGAAAAGTAAACACACAAAACTTACATACACTGTGGGGTTTGTTATTATTATCTAAAGTAAAAACAAAACCACAAAACAACTTAATCTGTGTGCCTGCCTGTTTGCACTTTTTTTACTTCTTACTTAGATTCTCCTATTCTAAGACAGAAGTTGTAAGACTTTTTATAGACTGTAGTAACAGGACAGACATCAGGATATTTTAAATTAGCAGAAAGCCCCTTCTTTTTCTCTGCAATTCTGAAGTTTAAATCTCTTTCATCTTTATAAGCCTTCCCTTCCTTCTTTAGACTACAAATTTAGACTACAAATCATTACAAAATATAATCTTAGATTCAGATATGGACTCTACAGATTTTGTAAACATTAGAAACTGAAGAATGAAGTAATGTTTATCCAAACATTTCTTCATTTTCCTTTTAGAAATAGTTTTTAAATATCAGGTTTGTGCAGCTGGTAAACTGTTACATATCAAAAATCACATCTGATTGGAAAAATCTATTAAAAGGAACCCAGAATGTCCAGTGACCATTTTATATGGGAAAGAAGGAGCTAAACCTAGCAAACAGTGAGAATTATATAGAGAACAGAGCCCAAAACTATGAAAACAATATCCACTGCCTACCTCAGGGGTCGCTTCAGTATGTTCAGAATCCATGCTCCATTGGTTATGTACGCCAATCCAATTTTCTCTTTGTGATATTAAAAAAAAAAAAAATGTACTCTTTTCACAAATTGGAAATTACTTAAAGATTACTTTTAAAACCGCTCTGTAACTTTTGGATTCTGCTGGTAATACTAAAAAGTCAATTAAATTTTTAGTGAGATTGTTAATGTGTGATTGTACTTGTGCTAGATTGTCAAAACCAACCAATTGCCAAATAAATGTATAATGAAAAGGCTTAATTATCTCACAAATTAGAAGTACTCAGTGCAACAGATTAAGAAGTACAAGATGTTTACTACTGGAAATTTCATATATAAATTGCCACAAGGAATTCTTCTTTTCTCTCAGTGAAAACAAACCAAAAGTGAAACATAAAGTCAGCAACATAAATTTTCTGGAAGCTAAAAAATAAGAATTATCTGTGTCTGTAGCATAAATATTATGGCACTGATTCCCTTATCAGCACTTCTATGCCAAAAACACATCTCTTCAAACTGAATACAGCAACTGGAATGTAACCACTGATGTTTCTTTGAAAACAGAGAAAAGAAGATGTATTTGAAGTTAAAAGTAATACATTCTAAGCCCTCAGAATCCAGGAAATTATGTCCAGTTTTTACTGGTTTCACAACAAATATTCAGCAATTGCTTTGGCATTGGAAATACACCAGATTTTTTCCATCATGTTGTGGCTTGGAAGCTCTGTAAGTTCGATCTTTGCCAGAGGATCACATGTTACATAAATTCAGGCTGTATCACATAATGTACACTTCTGCAACAAAACAGAGTGCTTTTAAATGACACCATTTTTGCTGGTTGTACAACCTTATAGAGTAAGAATTAATTTTTTATCTGTATTTTTCATATCCTTTTCTAAAAGCCTTAAAACACAGTTCTGTTAACACTGAAGAAGTTACATATTCATCAGGCAGAATTTCCACTACAAGCTATTCCTCAAAAAGCTACATCATAAAAATGTATTTAGGGATGAACATCAGATTGCTTTCTGAGATTATCATAAACTATTTTTAAGCCAGTACCATATAAAACAGTTTTAAAAACATGAAGTCAAAAAAAAAAGCAGCGTGCTTCACAAACCACATTCTGCAGAGATGTTATCCTAAACATAGTTTTAATCTTTTTCTCATTTTAATTAGAGAAATGGTACATACAAATGAGTATCTACTGTATGGATTCTTACGTGTTTGCAGATAGAACTTACTTCCCTTGAGTTGCTACAATCTGTTCGATGCATTTTTTAATTGACCAGGAATGTCCTTTGCTATTCTGTAACAGATAGACAAATAAAGACACATAAAAGCAGTTTCTGAAATATGTATGGTAACTTAAAACACAGAAGGCAGCTAATACAGCAATTTTTACTCATGTTCTATGTTACCCCACAGAAAAGTTATAGAACCTGCTTTAGTTTTGGAAGTTCTTATGCTTATGAGACCACATACACTCCAGCAGCTGCTTCTATGAAGCCAGGAGAACCAGGATAGAAAATGTGATAATTCCAAGGAACTGCTGAGAATAACTAATTGCTCTAGGAAGACTTACAGTGCATTGTTGACTTCTGTTTGCATGTTGTTGATTCTTCGGGGGAAAAAAAATAATAATAAAAGATATTTTTTTCTAATGTAAATTCAGTTTACATTAAGGATGAGAAAACAATCCCTTTAAGGAGCATAGGTAAAGTGCTGCAATCCTCTTCACATTCTGGTAAAAACACATGTTAATTAGCAGACTGGAAGAAATTCAGAGAATTTTTACCCTTACAAATTTGTTTTTGTATGTCAGTTATCTTTCCTGATATATCAAAACTATCAGAAATACCAAATGGGATTCTTATAAACTCACCACCTAACAATATTGTGCAGGTTCCAAAGCTGTAACGAAATAAGACATCACTGAAAATGTATACAGGCCTGGCAGAAAACTTTAGGTCAGCTTCTGGTCTCTGGAGTTTGAGAAATTCCTTTGAATCAGTTCCTCCTAAGGACAAATCCTGAATGAATTCTGCTAGAATTCTCCTCTCCAGAGGCTTAACTCCTAGATCAGTTTTAAAGGGGAAAGAAAAGAGAGAGAGGACAAGTGCTTCATTAATTAGATGTCCCTTGGAATAGACTATGAGTTCTCAATTCCCCAGCTGCTTTTGTACATGAATTTGATAAAGAGTGACACTGACTCAAACACTGCCTTTTAATTAGCACTGGAAGCACTCAAGAAACATTTCATGACAACTGGAGTAAATCACATCCACTTAACGATTTCAGACTTAGGTAGACACTAAATACCAACTACACTCCTCCCATTTTTTGAGCTTTTCTTCACATCTATGATACCCATGCCAAGATTCACCCTACCTAAAAAGTAAACTTCAGCTCAGGACTTTAGGTTAAGAATCCACTCACGCTCAAATTCTGTTACTCTCAGCAGCAAGACCTTAGCTGAGCTTAGCTGGAAGTATCCCTCTGCATCTCCCTGAAGGGAATGGAAGGGACAACTAATGCTGATTTGACTTCTGACTAAATATCCTCTTTAAATGCACAACGTGCGATGTGATGTTCTTTGACCTTTCGCCTTTTTTAATACAGAAAATTTATGTTTACAAAATTAAAATTCTGGAACAAAACAATTTCTTAATTCTAAGAGTACAATAAGTCACGATGCTTTGTTTTATATATTCACATAAGTAACTAACATTATCCTGTGCATGTTAAATTCTCCTCTGTTTTAGTTTTCTCATTCACTCATATTCACACCTCTCCATTAGTGCTGATAAAGCCATGTTATGCCATTATTTATCCATTTCCGTTTTCCACTCATTCTCTTCAGCTTTTTCTTTACAGTACAGCTGGCAGACAGTACCACTAACCCTATCAGTCACTCCAAATATTGTCCTATCCTCTTTCTTTCTCCTTCCATCTCTAAGCTCCAATACCTACTTCCAAATCTCCTTCCAGGGTTTCAATATTAGGACTTACCCTATTTATTTTTCTCCCTAGGTGCCATATACGTTCTAAGCAAGAGTCATACCCACTTCTCCATTCTCAGCTTTCCCAACACGTTGTTTGTGTGGCATGACAACGAGCCAACGTTAAGACTGTTAATCTTGCTACCGTTTTCTCATGCAGCTTCTGCTCATCAGATCTCTTTAGTGTGCATTTGCAACTGACTTTTTGAGTGATCCTCCTGCAAGAGATTGGAGGGAGCTCAGTTCTCTGCCCTTTTCTCAACCTGCATCTTATTTTCTTATCATTATTTCTCTGTAAGTGATTTTGTTGGACCCCTTGTAACCAGTATAAGTAATTCAATCATATTAATTCACATCAAAAATCCAGTGAACATGCCCTTTTGAGAAAGACCAGTTAAAAGATGCAACTGATCTTATTTTAAAAACCTTAGCAAGATGTATACATTGCAAATTAGGTTAATAATTTGTTTATAGTATTGAAATGTGAATTCTCATATACATAAGAAAAAGATTGAAAAACTTATTTAAAAACTTCCGTGGTAACATCTAAAAATGTTTAATGACTTGAGTTATTTTGACTTTTTAGGGCAGAATACAAAAGTAGACGATGGCTCTTGTTATTGCAGACTTGTTTTTCATATTCTGCTTTTAACTTCTAAAACTTTTGGGGTCTTCATACATATTTAACAGCTACCACACTGTTGTGTATGCACCTAGAACTCTTTAGTGAAATTCAATGTATTTCAATTCTAAGTGATCACATCCCTGCATTTTTAAAGGAACAGAACTAACTTTGAGACTGCTTCTTCCCAAGAACCTAATAAACAACCAGCCACACTCTGATAATTTAAATTTCAAAAAATATTTCTGAATATAAATAATACTTTAATTTATATGAAAAACAAAGCCTACAAGGATGATTTTGTGCTGAACTCAGATCTGGGACATTAAGTTTAAATGTTTAATGCATATTGGTTTTTGTTGGTTTTGTTTGTTTGTTTTCTGCAATCCATCATCAATTACTTAACAATTTATGTTTGTGACATTTTCCTTTCATAAGCAGCAGTTTTAGTAGTTCATACCTGGATATTTCCGTTGCTTATTGTGTGATGCTGAGGTTTTCTCTTACTACACATACATAGAGCTGAGAGGAAAAAAAAAAAAATTATAATCTGAGGTAGACAGGTAGACCCTTAGACCATTTAAGTTTTACTGTGACTCAATTTTCAATGAAAAAAAGGGAGCAAGTCCAGAACAGACGCTTTGGTATCAGTAATAAGAAACTCTTCTAGGGAAAAAATAAATAAATAAATAAACAACCATAGGTCATGAGCTACATACAATGCAGGGAACTACAAATACCTTCTGACTTTGCGGACCTCAGTGTCTGGTTAACTTCATCAGCTTTCATTCTGTGAAACTTTTTTGACTTGGTTCACAAACAATGAACAGAAAATTTATTGAAACTACTAAAATTTATTTTTTTTCAATATAAAATTCACAATATACATTTCAGCACATCTGTACTGTTCATATGACCAAAAGTGTCTCTAATAATCACAAAATTCAGTAAGTGTTCCAAAACTATGATCTGAAAGCATGACCTCTGTGATCATGGCCAAATGTAGCTGTAAGGTGATCACATCACGTAAGCCTGAGCCATGCTCAGAAAAAGGGAGGGAAATGGACCCACCCACAAACCCCTTTTGCCTTAAATATCTTACTGCTTCTATTCCCCTGTGGTGTGGTGTTCCGCAACATACTGTGTCCTGCTGACACCCTGCCACATGCACATGAATGCAGCTGTTCTCAAAGTAGAGATGATGGTTCAGAGGAATGTGTTCAAACGCTAACAAAACTTGCCGACAATTCTGAGTGAAATCCTGAGATGAAAGGAAGGTCAGAACAAAGCATCACGGCGTGGAAGTATTATACGGGACAATGCCTCAAAGCATCCTGACTGTGACAAGCTGACAAGAAAATCTCAACTTAGAATGAATTTAAGTCAAAGAATAGTATGAGAAAGAGCCAAAAAAACAGCTGTGAGGCACAATGATTCCAAACTCTGGAAGGACTCTGAAGTTTAAAAGATGAAAGCAAAAGCAAGCAAAACACATATTTTCACCAGTGACTGAGTGAATAATGAGAAAACAAAACTGTTGGATGAAGAAGGGCCAGAAGCATGTCATCAGGGTCTGCAAGACACTTCCAAAGCAACTTATTTCAGTGTCCAGAGGAAATGGAAAGGAAAATTGAGGTAACGATCCAGTGGGTTACAGAGTCAGGGAACAATTCTAATTCATGTGAGGCCAGGCAGACAGTGGTTACAGCCAGAGAACCGTAGCTGGCTCTATGGTGCCCTTTTGTCTTTCTCTTTGGTAAGGTGCACAAAGGAAATTAAGAATGGCATATTTAGGAATTTTGCATGAAATATAATGACAAAGGGAAGTACCCTTCGTTTGCCTTGGCAGATCTTTCCAAACTGAGTTTCTGATTCTAATTTTACATTCTGCACACAAACCTAACCTAGATACGCGATTATGTCCCTTGATTTTTAAAAACGTACTGACCGTACAGAGCGCATTTCATCCACAACTGTTTATACGCAGCCATATGATCGCATGCGTCTAGTTCCCAGCACGGCTACTGCCTTCAGCGGTACCAAACACCGAAGAATGCCTCTGCTGCACTATGAGCGAACGCGCTCAAAGTACTTTTGCTTTACTTTTTTTTTTGGGGGGGGGGTTTGCTTTACTTTGTGTGCCCACAGGAGATGCCCGGACACCGGCCAAAAATGTCCCCCTCTCCTCCACGCCACACCAAGCAGCACAGCCCCCAGGCTCAACACCACCATCCAGGGGCCAGCACCCGGGCTGCTGACGAGCACCCCCGAGGCTGGAAGAGGCGGGGGGGGGGGGGGGAAGAAGGGGCCGTTACGACCGTTACGACCGTTACGACCGTTACTGGGGGGGGGGGGCGGGAGTGAGGGGAAGCCGCGGCTGAGGCGGGGCGGGGCGGGAGGACCGGGACCATAGAGACGCGGCATAGAGCGGCCCTCCAACCACCGAGTTTCCGGCCCGGCGCGGCGCGGCGCATGCGCGGGGTTTCGCTTGGCGGCGGCGTGCGCGGGGTGCCGGCGCCATGGGCCCGGTGCTGAACCTCAACAACGAGGTGAGGGGGGGGCGGGGGGGGAAAGCGACGGTTTAACGGCCGCGGGCGGTTTAACGCTTCTCGGTAACATCAATTGATACCGTTCGTAATATTAATTGACTTTTATTGCAATTACTTCCTGTTGTGTGTTCGATACGTAACCTAGACATGGTAACTGGAGGCACTCGTAGTCACCCGTGTGCAAAATGTTGTTACACGGTGGCTGCAGTGCGCCTATAAACCGTGCGGGCACGGGTAGGAGCTGTGTGCTAGTTCTGTGCTAATAAGATGTATTTATTCGGTTTGTTTCTGGATGAGAGAAGTAAATACCTTAGTGTCTGAGCAGGTTCAGTGTAATTCAGTGGCAGGGGATCAGGTGTTACTGTGCTGGTGGAAACAAACAAAAAAAAACTTGCACTGTTAATGAAAAGTTCAAACTTCAGGTGCCAGTGTTGTCGTGAAGTGTGCAAGTATTTTGTCACAAATGGAAAGCAGGCATTTAACTGGGTGATTATTCCACCTCTTCTCAACAGAGAAACGTGAAAGTTGAGATTTTATTAATATAATGCAAGTCTTATTCTCCAAGGAAATTAAACAAGTAAAAGGCTGTGACATGTCTCCTTTCTGACAGCTTGAGTTCATTTGATAATTTCAGAAAATCTGTAAAGTTGTAGAGACCTCAAGCCTTTTAAAAGGTGTAATTTGGATAGAAAATAGTAACTCCATCAAGCAGCAAGCTCCCAGTTGTTCTGATCTAACAGAAATAAAAATGTGATACTATTTGGTCACTGTGTGAACAGATTGCAAGTTTTTGTAGAGTGGTGAGGATCCTGGGTAAAAATGAGATGGACTGTGGTCATTGTGATAAGGTGCATTAAGACAAGGTTATGAAAATGCAGTTTATTTAGCTATCCACGGAATAATGCATTTAGACATTCTGCTTGTCCTTTGTTTTATTTTTTCATGGACAGTTTTTGATATCAGCGTAACACCTCCAGAAACTGTCACAGTGTTTCCAGGGCAACAAATAGATACTCTGCCAAAAGTGTATAAATGCTCTTTTTTTTTTTTCTAATTGCATGTATACCTAGATAATTACAGAAAACAGCAAGATCTGAATACAAGGAGCAAGATCTGCTATTTTAAGAAGCTATCAGCTTGCTGCCATCAGATAACATGATACAATTTCAGTGCTATATTGTGACTGTAAAGTTAGGATTTTCTTTTTTTAATTTATTTTATTTTTTTTCAATTCAGACATTCAGTCATTCAATTTCTGTGCCCAAGGTAGAGTAAGTGGCAGGGAGAAGTAATGGCTGCAGAAAGAGGAAAGTGAAGTTTAGAGTTTTTTAGAAGGAAGCGGAAAATACAATATTTCTTAGGAGATATGATTTTTTTTTGCACATAGTTAAAATATAACATGCATTTTTTTGTCTATAGTAAGCTATATTTCTATTCTTATCTCATGTTTAACCTTAAAAGGCATACAGGCTGAAGGAATCTTTAAAAAATACTTCTGTGCTATATGTGTTTCCTATTTTATAAAGCTTTCAAAATAAGTTGATGTATCTTGTCACAAAATATCTTGCAATATTAAAAAAAAAAATAAAAGCACCATATAAACTAAACTTTTCTGGAAGAATTTGCTAGATGGCAGCACATAATCATCAACTGCCACGGACAAGGGTAAGTTTAAAGGGAAAGGCCACGTGTTTAGTGTGAAAAATTATTTTTGTTGATCAGCAATATACAACAGCATGGAACAGAAGCTTGTGAATGGAAACCAAGTCAGACTTGCCTTTTCTTTTCTCTTTCTTTTTTTTCAGAATTCATGCTTCTCTAATAGTGTGTTTTTCTGTCATGTAGAGGCAGTCTCTCTCTCTACCCCCCTTTTTTGTCTTCTTGGAATTCGCTTGGTTACAACTACCTCAAGGAATTAAGCTGCAGAAAGCCCATGAAGCCAATGCAAATGATCTTTGCATGAATACTTCTAAAAATGCATAGTTCTAATATGTACCTAAGTTGGTGCTGTAAGGGCCTAAGTTTGAGTGTTAGTGAGGCATTGTATTTTGGAAAGCAAGCTTAAGCTTTTGCAGAGCTGAGAGTTGTTTCTCTGGGACATATGAACTGAATTTGCCAAGTTTGGTTATGGAAACTTTGTATTAGTTGCATTTTTCTCTTAAATTTGTATTTAATCATTAGGTACGTGCTCTAAAATAATTTCTGCCATTAATGATGTTGTGGACTTCTTACTGATTCAGTATAAAGTTTAGCTTTATTTATAAAGCTGTGCTTTTTAGATGATATTTATCCTTCTCAGTGCAAAGGTTTCCTTTTTTACTCCGAGGTAAAGTCAAGATAAAAGTCTGTCTTTGGAGTAATATATATGCACACAAACTTTTAAGGCTCCTAATAGAAATGTAGAGTTCCTTTAATCTGCACAAGGAAATTCGTAATCAGGCTCCAGTTTTGGTAGATTCCATTCAGCAGTTTTCTGGGTCACAAACCCTTGTGCTGTGATGTTCAGCACGACAGTTCTCAGGCCCTTTTACATTTTCAGTTTAGGGCTGTCATCCTGACTTGGCTGCAGTGTGGATGAATGACATGGTCAGAAACCAATCTGGACATGTGGTTAAGTGTTTAAACTGGTGTACAGCAGAGTCAATGATGGATAGTGTGAATGATGAGGAAAAAAATCACACACAAATCCATGGGAGGGAGCTTTAACTTGTGGAGAATGACTGGCATATGGTCTGAAACTGTGGTTTGTTATATCCTTAATTGTGTGAAACTTGCATCTTTTATCACAGCACAACAAGAAGGAAATGTAAATTTGTAGATGTTTATATATGGTTTGCCTCGTGTAGCCTAGGCTGGTTTTGCATTTGTCAGTCACAGCTTAGGTAACAGACATCAATGGAAAATCGGTTACCACGCTTGCCCTTAGGCATGCCTTCACTCATTCATTGTTGTGCATCAGCCTGTAACAGTAAGGCCAAATGTATTCTTTTAACTTTCAGTGATAAAACTTTGTGTAATAGTGGAAGCCAGAAGTTGTATTCTCAGCAGGATATCAGGTGGAATTACTAAAGAAGAATAGGGAGGGGGATGTTTGAGAGGCACACACATTCCTCCTGAAGCTGAATTGACTTGTACAGTTCAGAAATGCATTTATCATTTTGGTAAGTGTATTAAATGCAGAATACTAGCACAGCATCCTAGCTAGCCCTTAGCACATTGTGTATTTCAGTTACTGATGCAGTAGGCCCAGCATGTTTTTTATAAATTTCAATTTAAAACTTACCTCAAATGAAATTAATTTGAAGTTCTCTGTTCATTGAATAGTCCCCATTTTTGCAGAGAGACATTCCAGATAAAATGTAGTTCAGGACTGCTCCCTGGTACTTAATTGCCATTGCTTAAGTGCTTCCTTATTTCCAGTCTTCAGTATTTTGACTGCCACATAACTCAGATGCGATACACATCTATGTGTTTTCATTGACGTTTGATGACAATTTACACAAGTAATTCAGTATCTTACTGGTTATTTTTTTCCCCCACATTTCAGACTGCAGAAACTGGGCCATCTTTTAGCATTGAAGGGTCTTCACTTTCAGAAGTGCTTTGCTGTTCAGTGTAGCATCGTGGTCACATGTGACGTGCCACAGCCGTATCTTTCTCAGGCCGTGATTTCATGGGCCTCACTGCATCAGGTGCTGGAGTTTCTCACTCTTCTTGCTCCTCACCCACTGCAGCCACAAGACCATGCGTCCTTTTTTTCTGAGCAGAATAAACTTTTTGCTGAGGTGGTTTTCTGCTTCTGCATAGACAGAAGGTCTGGGAGAGCGTTCAGCCAACAAACCTAAATAGCCAGGGTGATAGTATGGTGTACAGTTCTGTTGTCTAGCAGGTGTTCCTTTTGTGGAAGTCAACTAGTGATCAAGGTTATAGGGACAGGAAAACTAAAGGGTTCAAAGAGAAGGCCAAAGGAGTCCTTAGATCTTGCTAATCTTGCAGAATGAGTTCGTTGGAGAGTAGTTATTAACCCTTATGTAAGAAGAATCATGTCATTTCGCTATTACACTTTCAAAAGTTTATCTTTGGAAAATGTGAACAAGAGTATCTGAAGGGGAAAAAAAAATACCTGTTCTCTTACCTGAAAAAGAGCTCTTAGACCAAGTTGCAGCCCAGTAATGAGTAAAGTCGAAATGTAATTTTCAGGAGTTCTATTTCCCACAGCCTTCTTTCAAGATTATTTTTTTAAAAATCTCTTTTCACTTTTGAGCACAAACTGGATGGGAGTGTTAAGGTTTTTTTAGTGTATTATATCCAAATAGCTAGTGTTACCTAAAGAATGTTATGATGTTTTTAAGTGCATTCCTGGACCTTCTTTACCAGTGATAAAAAAGAATCCTAGACTGAAACGTTCAAAATAACAATGACTGAGTGCTGTTAGGCATTATGGTATTTAAAGCAGGCCGAAATACTGGGCAGCCAGCCCAATGCGGTTATGCAGGCTTCTCTTTGAAATATAGTAGCTGCCCCCAAAGATCCATTTTGTGTGCTATCCTCTGGGCTGTGGTGAATCTAGGAGCCCCTTTAATAATCCTCTACTCTGACCTTTTAGCTGTCTAAAGGGGGAGTGGGGTATGAGGTGAGGTGCCTGACCAGTTACCTGGTATTGCACTGAGCTACGAGGTGTCTGATTGCTCGTATTTCAAAATACCACTCTCCCTTTCAAGGCATGTGTCTCCCTGCTGAG